CACTTGCTATGCGTCTAAGAGGTCCATAGTGAATAAGGTCAACAGAATTTATGCCTTTGATCTGTGGTGTTAGACAAGAGTACTGAGTATCCCATGGACTGAAAAAATATAAACATAATATGTCTTGAAGTAGGTGCAGCCAGAATGTTCCTTGGAGGCAAAACTTCGTCTCACATTGTCTGGTCATATTGCTGAGGGGCTATTTCTTGAAGAAGGGCAGCATGCTTAAAGGTGGAAGTTCAATGAAAGAGAGCAAGACTCTCAGAATTGACACAGTGACTACAGCAACAGCCCTAAGGGTGTTAGAGACAATGAGGATGGCATAGCGTAGGACAGAGCCCAGATCTGTTCTTCATAGGGTCACTGTGAGTTGTACATTGTACATGACTCACCGGCATCTAACAACAAGAGAACAAGAGTTCTGGGGGCATAGTGTGTTGCATATTGGGTTGCTAACTGGAAGTCAGGTGGTGTGAAACCACTAGCTGCCCATGAGAAAAAGATGGTCAGTTTCCATTCATAAAGATTTGCCACCTCAGAAATCCACTGGTGGGTTCCCCAGGGTTGGAATGGACTGGAGACAAGTAGATAGAACAAAATACTAAAACTCTTTTGAAATGAGCTTCTAATCTTTTTTCTCCATTGTAAAAGTTATAAGTCTTTTCTCTCTTTTCAATATTAGTTTGTTGCTATTCAGAGAATTCCTTGCTTGTGCTTGGTCATTAGTTTTCTGGGGAAGCTTTCTGAGTGCTAAGCTTCCTTCAGTTTTGTTTCTGTTTAAGTGCTTGCCTAATGGCCTGAAATTGATTAGGAGAAAAATTGTATAACCATCCAGCTATGTTACATAAATCTCCTGGTATTTCAGATAGAAGAGAATTCCTCAAGAAAAACAACTTAAATGCATTTTAATCAAGACTGTGATGCTTCAAACAATTTTATGCCACTATCAAAACTAGTAAAATGTTGGAGGCAATCATGTATAATTCAAAACACTACACCTCTGCTAGCTCTGAGCTGTCAGCAAGGAATTTGGGGCATAATGATAAAGTTAAAATGCTAGAGAGCATCGTATTTTAAGAAATATTTGCATATAGTCATAGAGTGGTTTTAAAGGTGGTTAAATTGCTATTTAAAAAGATAAGTTTTCTGATTAAAAATCTGAAACAGTTGGGAAAATGCAATAAAGTGACTGTAAAATAAAATTATATCCTTCCCCTTAAGATTGAATAGTGAGCCTAATTGGAATATTTTTTTTTCTGGAAAATCTTTTTCATAGACATTACTCAGTTATACTGATAAAATGTAGGAGTCAATATATAAAACACAAACTAGCAAACTGACAGGTAATGGACAGAGTGTAATTAGAAAAACTGTAGGTTTGTTTTGTCATTACTGTTAATGTTCATAAAAAAATACTTTTGTCAGTTTCTTCTTTAAAGCAGAGAGGATTTGGAAAATCTAAAATGCATGTAATAAATTTGAGTAAATAAAACTTGATGAGAGAATTTCTTTTCTCAGACTTTCACATTTTAAATAGTTATGTTAATTCAGTGAGTAAAAACATTATTATCTAGTTGGTCTTTGGGAAATAGTTTTTCCTGGGGCAGTCCTGAAGTCTTCTGTCCGCCAGTCTTAACTTAGGGAATTATTGCTGTCATCTCTCAAAAATAAGCATTGCAATTATTTGTGAGATTTTTTTTGGGACAAAGGCCTGATAGTGCATTGAAAACTGTAGACCTTTAAGAGTTTGAGTTTATGTGCTTTTTATTATAGGTTAAAAAAAATGAATATTTCTCTTTTGAGTAATGTTTTTGTTTGAAACATGGGGTGACCTAAATTTGCTGATGTGAAGGACGAGATTGGATAAAGAATACCGTTTCACATCTCAAAATTGTGTGTTCTGTGGGCCTTCTTTTCTTACCTACCCCCAGTGTCCTTCAAAATGAAGTACTTCTTCAGTCCTTTCCAAATACACTGTATCATTTGAATAAAATGGGTTTTGTTTTAACAATATGATGAACTTTTTGCATTTGTAGTAGTTTGAAGATGTGGAAAATATGGTTGCTGAGCGCCTCTTGTGACACTCATAGCTGGGCCCTTGTGCCTGAGTCATTTGCATCCCTCCACTGTGTTGGCATTCTCCTTCAGACACCATCACTGGGGACTTTGGCTACAAGCAGCATCTATTCTTTATTAATTTGCTCTTATAAACAATTGGAAAGATAAACTAGGCAGGCTTTTTTTGTGACTTTTGTTGTTTTCATGTGATATCAAGTTGACTGTGATTCATCATGACCCTGTGAACAGTGGCTCTGAACCCTACCCAATCCTGACAACCTCAGTCTCTGACACACCCGCCTCTTTTACCCCAGTTACTGTGTCAATCCATGTCATCCAGGATACTCCTCTCCCGTGCTGTCTATCTTTCCAAGCATGATGTCCTTCTCCAAGGACTAGTCCCTACTGGCACAATGCCCAAAGTATGTAAGACAGATCTTCAAAATCCTTTCCTCTAAAGAGAAACCTGCTTTTACCCTCACCAGGACAGACCTGTTTGTTCTCTTGACAGTCCGTTGTGATGTTCAGTATTCTTCTCCAGCACAACTCAAAAGCATTGATTCTTCTTCTGTCATCCTTATTCATTGTCCAGCAAGCAAATGAAAAGACCAGTGCCTGGATCAGGCATACCTTAGTCTTTCCACTTGACACTGTTGCTCCTTAGCACTCTGGAGAGGTGCTTGACAGCAGATTTTCCCAGTACAATTAATCTTTTGATCTCTTGACTGCTGGTGTCAAAAGTGTTGATTGCAGATGAAATTGTTAACACTTCAATCTTTTCTCCATTTATAATCATGATGCCTTATTGGCCTGGTGGTGAGGATCTTTGTTTTCTTGATGTTGAGATGTAATTCTTATTGAAGGCAGCAGTACTTTATCTTCTGTAGCAAGTACTTTAAGTCCTCCTTGCTTTCAGCAAGCAGAGCTGTGTCATCTGCATAATGCATGTTGTTGAGTCTTCCTGCAATCCTGATGCCACATTCTTCTCATGAAGTCCAGCTTCCTGAATGATCTGTTCCACATATAGATTGAAAGGGTATGGAGAAAGGATACATCCCTGACTCTCTTCTTTCTTGATTTTGAACCATGCTGTGTTCATTTGCTCTGTTCAGACAACAGATTTCTTGTCTAGGTATAGGTTTCACATCAGCACAATCAAGTGTTCTAGGATTCCCATTCTTTTCAATGTCAGCCACAATTTTTTGTGATCTACACAAAGTGTAATTTATAAGACACAAATAGATGTCCTTCAGTATTCTCTGCATTTAACCAAGATCTATTTGACATCAACAATGATATCCCTAGTGCCATGACCTCTTCTGAACCCTGCTTGTATTTCTGGCAGTTTTCTGTCAATGTACTGTTCTTGTAGTTTCTGGATAATCTTCAGCAATATTTGCATGCATGTGATATTAGTGAAATTCTTTGATAATTTCCACATTCTGTTGCAATATGGAATCTTATTTTGGAAATAAGATTAAATATAGATCTCTTCCACTCTAGTAGTTAGCTGTCTTCCAGATTTCTTGGCATAACCTGGTACACCTTGCATTCTGAGCTATATCTGTTGGTTAAAATACGTCAGTTGGGGATTTTTTAGCTCAGTTTAAATATTAAATACCTTTTTCTGGAACTTAACCATGTCTTTGCATTTTACTAATTTTTTAAAAGTCATTCTCCACTTTATAGTTGTAATATTAGCATTATATAATAAATATTCAACATAGTATACCATTATAAAACAGAACATGATACTTTAAAATAATGTATCAGAGAAGATGTTCTGAATATTGCAAATATTGTCTTTATTTTCTTTTTTAAAATATTTTCTTTTATATTGATTGGTTTGCTTACAAAGTTCGTATACATTGTGTTGCACACTATTCTTCATATTGTGTTTCATACAATCATTGTTTTATGATGTCAGTCACCATTGGATGTTGCCCATCATTATCCGATCTTTTCAGGTCCCTGCCGTATCCTTCCCATTTCTTCACCTCCTCCCTTCCCCCTCAAACTGTGCAACTCTATGGTTTTGTACCTACCCATCCTCACCCCTCTGCTCCCTCACCTTACCCCCTTGGGTCATCATACATAATTTACTAGTTATCCTTCTATTTTTACAATAGTGTTTTTATGCAGTTTTTGTCATTATGAGCCTGAGTTAGTTCATTCAACATAATGCTCTCCAGTCTCTCCCAAATTATATAGTATTTATCAAAAATTGTTGCTCTGAGTGCAGTACAGTATTCTGTTGTGTGAATGTGCCACAATTTCTCAGTCCATTCAGCTTTAGTTGGACATCTGGGCCCTTTCCATGTTCCTGCGATGGTGAATAATGCTACTGTGAACACTGGGGTACAGATCTCCATTTGTGTCTCAATTCTAAATTCCTTGAGGTGTATACCTAGTAGTGGAATAGCTGAGTCACATGGAAAATCCATGTTCAACTTTTTGAGGAAGTGCCAAACTTTATTTTCTGTATTAATCACCAAGTGGCAGTTTTGATTTTTAGGTTACTTAGAAGTGTGGGAAGAGCACTGGTGGTACAGCGGAGAAGCACTAGACTAACTGAAAGGCCAGCTTTTCAAATCCATCAGCTGCTTTGAGGGAGGAAGATGATACATCTGCTCCACTAAGATGCACGGCCTTAGAAGCCCGATGCGGCAATTATACTCTGTCCTGTAGGGTCACTCTGAGTCAGAATTGACTTGATGCCGGTGGTTCATTTGTTTATTTTAGAAGTTTGAAAATAATATGACTCATTAATCTGGAGTAAGAATTAGTTTGCTTTTATTGGCTTTCACCTTTTCCTATCTTCCAAATTTTAAATGTAGCTGTACCCAAAGATGTAACACTGCTCGGTCTACCTTCTTCAAGTCCTCTTGTGTTTTGTTTTTGTTTTTTTCTCGGAATGCTTTGCACACACTGACCTGCTGCAGATAACTGGAGGTGCAGGGTTTGTGGGTTCTCATCTGACTGACAAGTTAATGATGGATGGCCACGAGGTGACAGTGGTGGACAACTTCTTCACGGGCAGGAAGAGAAATGTGGAGCACTGGATTGGCCATGAAAACTTTGAGCTGATCAACCATGACGTGGTAGAGCCTCTCTACATTGAAGGTGAGTGACAGTGCCCATTGTTTTTTTTGAAAGTAGTGCACTGTTGTTTTCTTGAACTTTGTTGGATAGCCTACCAGTGCAACTGGGTTCTGGAAGGTATACGGTGTGAATCAGCCCACTTAGTTATTTTTTAAATGACCTAACTGTATTCAAGGCAATTTTCTAGTTTCTGTAATTAAGGGTAGCTATGAAGTATAAATACCGTATTGTCATTATTACATAGCACTTTTGATTTGATTTTGAAATCCATGCATATGTTGATATAGCACTTGTGTAGTCCACATCCCTATTTGCTAGCAAGTCTGATGCCTACCCTATTTGCACAAAGTTACTTTTAGCTTCTTATAAGTCATGAGTCAATTTTGAATGCTAGTAAAGCCTTATAATAATGTTGTACTTGAAGGAATTATGCCTTGAGGATCTTAGACTTTATATTATTCTCCTTTCTCTGAGATGACCTCAGATGAACTGATGAGAGCCACCATGAGGTACTTGATTAGTGGAGTTACCTAGACTCGCACAAGGATCTCTGGTGGCTCAGTGTCTAACTGTACAGCTACAAACCAAAAGGTCAGTAGTTTGGACCCACCAGCTGTGCAATAGACATTCTCCTGTAGAGATTTCCGCCTTAGAGACCTTGGGATTGTCTCGTTCTGGTCTTTGCTATTAGGTAACTATGAGTTGAAATGAATAGCAACATGTTAGGTTCACACAGATAATGCATTTATTTTTATTTAAATCAGACTTTACCCTAAGCACTAAATGGCATCATCCTAATTTATATTTATGAAGAACTCGAGTTGGTTTTTCACCTGCCCCAATAAGTGGCAGAGCCAGAATTCAGCTTAGGTTGTCTGACTCCAAAGTTAATATAATATAGCGAGAGGTATGACTTTCAAAGTTCACAAATCTCTCGATGTTTTTTGTTTCCTGATGTGCATAAAAGTCATATTTACAATATGTTGGGCTATTGTTGTTATATGCTTCAAGTTAGAACCAATTCATAGGTGATCCTCAGAGTTTTCAGAGACAGTAAATGGAACAGGAAGAGATTGCCCATCTTTCTCCTGTGGGGAAGCTGATGGATTCAAACCACATGCCTTCAGATTGACAGCACAACTCCTTACCAGTAAGCCACCAGAGCTCCTAATTTACACTATGCTGTAGACTATTAAAGTATCGAAGCATTATTAAAAAGTTTGGGAAGGGGGAAAGTTTGAAATACTGCTAAAACTACCAAAATATGACACAGACACCACGTTGAGCACATGCTGCTCAAAAACATGCCACTGATAGATTTGCTCTGTATTAGGTTGGCATAAACTTTATGCGTGTGAAAAACCATATTATCTGCAGAGCACAGTAAACCAAAGCGCGGTACATAAGATAGGCCTTCTTTCTGGCTTTTCATTCAGTATTTTCTAATTGTGAATATTTTCCTATACCATTAAAAAGTGTCTGAAAAAACCACTTTAATAGCCCAGTAATATTTTGTTGTATGAGACTATATAATAGTTTATTTAATTTTATCCTTATTTTAAATTTTCTAGTGTTTTATTATAAATATCTCTGTTTGACTTTTATTTTCTTAATAGAAGAAAGTCTAACTATGATCCAGGTATTATTATGTCTACTGTTCAGGGGTAGCATTTCATTTCTATCTTAACATTTGTTGTCCTTTGCTAGAGCATCAATAGCAAAGTAATACAGAGGCTTAGCACAGTGCCCCAATAATTTGAGGAGTAATCGTTCCCTACATGGTAACCTTGGCCCTACCGTCAGGAGAGGCCAGTCCTTGAAAGACGTCATCATGCTGGGAAAGGTCAGAGAAAGAGAGTAGGACCCTGAGCAAGGTGGATTGACACCCTGACTGTAACAGTGGGTTCTAGGATATCAGCGATCCTGATGCTGCTGCAGGTTAGGACAAGAGTTCAGATCTGTTCTTAGGGTCTCTGTGAGTTGTAGTTAATTCAGCGCCCCCTAACGGCAACAGTGTGAGAACTATGTTATTGTTACCCTTTTTAATGGAAGTATTGTAGAGGGGTTGGTTTGGTTGGTTTTGGTTTGTTTTGGTTTTTTTTGTTTTTTCCCAATTCTTTCAGTGCAACTTGGACTTCCTCCTTCAACACCACAGGCTCTTATCATACATTGTTACATGAAAGTCTTTTGTGTCAACCAATTCTTTCTGGTACAGTGGCTCTGTATACTCTTTCCATCTCCTTGGATCATTTAACATTCTGACCAAAGCATTCTTAAGTATTGCCACCCGTGGCTTGAATTTGTTTATTAATTCCTTCAACTTAAGAAATGCTGAGCGAGTTCGGCCCTTTTGATTTTCTGACTCCAGCTCTTTGCACATTTTGTTATAATACCTTGCTTTGTCATCCTGAGCTGCCCTTTGAAATTTTCTTTTCAGCTCTTTAATTTCTTGATTTCTTCCTTTAGCTTTGGCCTTTCAACGATCTAATACAATATGCAGAGTATCATCTGACATCCATTTTGGTCTTTTCTTCCTCTTCTGCCTTTGTAATGATCTTTTGTATCTTTTTGTATTTTGAAGATCATGGATGATATTTTTTAAATCCTCCTACAACTCATTTGGTCTTCATTCACTGGTGTTCAAGGCCTCAAACCTGTTCCTGAGATGGTTTTGATATTTAAGTGGGATAGATTTAAGGTCGAAATTTGGTTCCTGTGGATTTGATTTTATTTTTTCCAACTTCAGCTTGAACAACTTGCATATGAGTAATTGGTGATCTGTTCTACAGTCGGCACATGGCCTGGTTTTCACAGCTGATAGTGAGCTTCTCCAGAGATTTTTTTTTTTTCCCACAGATGTAATCAATTTGATTCTTATTCATAGCATCAGGTGAAATCCATGTGTATAGCCTGTGTTTGTGTTTTTTATAAAAGGTATTTGCAATGAATAAATCATTGAATGTGCAGAATTCTATCATTCTTTCACCAGCCTCATTTCTCTCATCAAGTCCATGTTTTACAGCTCTGAAAGAATTGGCAAAAAACAAGGTTCCAGGAGTTGATGGCATACCAATTGACATATTTCAACAAACAGATGCTGCCCTGGATGTGTTCACTAAGTTGTGCCAAGAAATCTGGAGGACAGCCACCTGGCCACCTGACTGGAAGAGATTGATATTTATTCCCATTCCAAAGAAGCGTGACCTAACAGAATGTGGAAATTATCGAACAATATCATTAATATCACACGCAAGCAAAATTCTGTTGCAAATTATGCAAAAATGACTGGACCACCACATCAACAGAGAACTGCCAGATGTGCAGGCTGGATTTAGAAGAGGTTGTGGTACTAGGGACATTATAGCTAATGTTAGGTGGATCTTGGCAGAAAGCAGAGAGAGAGCACCAGAGGAATGTCTATCTGTGTTTCATTGACTATGTAAAGGCTGTTGATTGTGTGGATCACAATCTCTGGCTGACTCTAAAAAGAATGGGAATCCCAGAACATTTGATTGTGCTTGTGTGAAACCTATACTTGAACCTAGAGTTAGTCATCAGAATAGAGCAAGGAGATACTGCATGGTTCAAAATTGGGAAGGATGTCTGTCAGGGATGTATTCTGTCTTCATACCTTTTCAATCTGTATGCAGAACAGATCATCCAGGCGCTGGGCTGTATATGAGGGGAAATGTGGCATCAGGATTGGAGGAAGATTCATCAACAACCTGCATTATGCTGATGACACAATCCTGCTTGCTGAAACTGAGGAGGACCTGAAGGCCTTGCTGCAGAAGATCACAAAGATTCTCACCACTGGGCCAGTTGGCAGCATCATTATGAATGATGAAGAGATTGAGATTGTTAACAGTTTTAGTTTGTTTGGTTCTATGATCAACACTGTTGGTACCAGCAGCCAGGAAATTAAGAGACAAGTTGCATTGGGAAAGTCAGCTGTCAGGGACTCTTCCAGGGTTCTGAAGAGCAACAGCATCAGGCTGGAGACTAAGGTGCACCTGATCAAGGCCATAGTCTTCGCAGTTGTGTGCTATGCATCATCAGAGAGCTGGGCAATGACTAGGGATGATAGAGAATTGATTCCTTTGAGCTGTGGTGCTGGAGAAGAGTATTGAATATACCATGTACTGCTAGGAGAACAAAGAAGTTCATCCTGGAGAGGGTGAAATCAGGATGCTCCTTGGAAGCAAGGATTCTGAGGCTTTGGGCATGTTGCATGGAGGGACCAGTCCTTGGAGAGGGACATCATACTTGGGAGAGTGGAGGGATAGCGCAGGAGAGGAAGACTCTTGACGAGATGGATTGATTCCGTAATTGGGATAATGAAAGAGGTGAGTTGGAGACAGTGAGTTTGGCACAGGAAAGAGCAGGGTTTAGGGCTATTGTACATAGGATGGCTGTGAGTCAGTCGCAGGTGACTTAACAGCACATAACAACAACATTGTAGAGTACAGAGACGAGAACTAGACAAAAATCTAGTATATTAGTAAGAAAATAAGCTGCTCTGATTATGAGCTTTGACAAGTAATAGCTACTTTAGACAGTTTTTCATTGCTTTTGGCTATAGATTCAATAGGAGTCACATACACACACTGACTCTAGTCTTAAAATAAATGACATACACCTGTCCTTGGCTCAGTGTGGTAAATCCCCACAAGTAGCATTCGTGTTGGAAGAGCATATTTTCCCATCTCTGTAGTTCAAAAATCTATTGTTAGCCTTCTCCTTCAGTAATGTTTTTTAACTTTAGTAATAAGTTCTTCCATATAGTTGTTAATGTCCTCTTCTCCCTCTATTACTTAAAATTATATATTCCTCCTGGTTCACTTTTTCTGCTCCATAATGTGTTCTTGACTCTGAACTTCTTCAATGAAGGAGTTTATCGTTTGATTCCCTGAGGTGTTGCAATTGTGCTTTTCAAGGTAATCTCTATTTTCCTCTCTTCAATCAGGCTGTAACATGCAGTTAATGAGATTAATTTTGTTTGATATGCTTTCTCTTTCCTT